TACATATATATAATCTTAAATATAGACAAGTCTTCACTGAACCGAAACAGTCGGCACATCGTCGCAAATGTGATTTCGGGTTGAGCAAATTTGCAGAAAATTCTCTGTAAAAATTCACAATTTTACAGTTTCACAGACTCGACTGTAACAGATGAACCATTCATCGAATACAGTCTGTTACATAATCATCGGCACTTTTGAAATAATTTAAATCATGATTCAGTAAACACAAGCAGTGTCTTTATTGAAGCAATGTTGAAGTTGGCCGTTAACGTCAACAACTATTCAAGAACGTCAACCTGCTCTTCTATAAACCAAGAAAATAAATGTCTATTTGTTGAAATATTGTTTTTAAGGGCTCTGAAATGAGATGTCTTTAATTTGCTAATAAATAAAAAGCTAAGGCATTTARTTTTATGGGCTGTTTAAAGTAGCTGGAAAGTGAAATTAGATGTAAATAAGAGGGATTAGGTGTGTTAGGCAGCTGCGTGTCATAATCCAGTGAAAACCTTGAGCCCAGGAGCAAAGGAGGCGTTCAGTGAACAGGCACAATGTTCTGTTCTGCATGTGGCTTTCACAGCTCCATCACCACTTCAGCCACCTGTCAGCTGAGCACCAGCAGCATCTCCTCTTGGCTCTCAGACAGGCAGCTCATTCACTGGGGACAGAACAGATGCATGCTTTAATGCTGATGCTGATACAGATTTATCCCGTGCAGACCTCCAGTGTTCGATACCAGCTTTAAGGGCTCTGGAGGAAAGCCGGGCGCTCGTCGCGGTGAGTGATTTAAGCTGCTTCTTCTTCATCTTCTTCATCGTTTTGAAGTGGGAACTTTTTTTTTGTGCCAACCTTTAAAGTGGGGGTTTTAACTGTCAGGAAGGGGATAGATTTATTTCCCTATAAATTACACACATTCTCTGTGGTCAGAGCATAATGTGATCTACACATGTGCATTGTGAGGGTGTGGTTGATGTTRCTGTCGGGTTTCTTTCACTCGCTGGCCAAACTAAATCTGACTTTTGTTGTTTTAAAGGCTCTAGTTTTGATTTCATCATAATGCAGAAGCTAAATTTAATCTAAATGTTTTATTCAAAGTCTTGTTAAAATCTTAATGTTAAGTTTGGCTGATTTGTTCTTTTTCAAGGAAAATTTAAACTCCTTAACTGAAGCGATGGTTCAAATATTTTTRTGTAGGGCTCTCTGTTGTCAGGAGCTGTTTGAAGAAATAAAGTTTAATTCTGATCATTCAAAACAAACTAACAGCTACTCCAAGCACAACCAAGATCAAGTAGTTTTAATTTGTATTACACCAGTATTTATACACAATCTTACCGGTATTTTAAGTGCAAATAGCCACAGCAGTGTATCTCAGTGTATGGTATTATATGGTACTTATCTTGTACTTACAGGTATATACAGTATACATACCTGGGACTTAAGTGTGATTGGTATTCACTGGTTACATATCCAGTTGTTACAGGATATATGCCAGGTACTGTAGGTGCATATACCTAGAATTAAAGGGTTTCTTATGTGGTACATACCTGATACTTACAGAAAACATACCAAGAAATTACAAGGTGTGTACCTGTACCTAAATGGTACTTACCTGGATCTTAAGGGGTAATATAGGGTACTACAAGAGTATGTACYTGGTACTTACAGAAAACTGACTTGAGAGGTAGATATCTGATACTTGAGTACCCGACACAATGTATTTACAGGTATGTACCTGGTACTTAAGGAGTACATACAAGGACCTTAAGGGGTATTATAGGACCCGTGTCTGGTTCTACATACTGTATGTACCTAGTTTATACTTGTTACTTACAGAATGTGTACTTAAAGAGGACATATCTGATACTTACAGAATATTTACTGGGTGTGTATGTGGTTCATACAGGGTACATACCTGCTACTTCAGTGGTGTGTCGTTGCACATTACTTATCTAGTACTTACAGGATATATACCTGGAACWAAAGAGGTACTTACAGGGTTTGTGCCTGGTACTATAAATGTGCATACCTTAAGGAGTACATACCTGATACTTAAGGGGTGTATGTACGTGGTACCTACAGAATATTGTCTCGTATTTTAGTGGTACATACCTGCACCTGAAAGGGCCAATATTATGTGTTTCTCAGGCATATATTTAAATACTATACATTAATAAAGTATCTGTGTCACCTTTAACTGTTATTAAAATGTTGTTTTTATGTTTAAATAGAAAATAAACTTATCTTCTCATCACTTCCTCTTCTAAACGCCTCGAAATTGCCCTCTGTCTCTTGAAGAACCACATTCCGCTTCCTTTTCTGCCCACTTCGGTGCCGGGTGGGGGGACTGCCCTGATGCAGTTTACTTGGCATCTAAAAATACATTTCCTCAAAGGTATTTTTAATCTGAAAAGAGTGAGAAGTAATGTTGAGAGCTCAGCAGACAGTTAAGTTTCACTTTCAGTTTCACCCGAGAGCCTGCAGGAGTCATGGGCGGGGTGTGTGGGGAGGGGGGGTTTGCACTCTGCCATGAGGAAGCTCGGCTTAAAGACACGTCCCAGAGGTGTTTCTGGTACCAAAAAGGTGTTTCTGGTCCCCACCTGTCGTTTTGCTCCTCATCATGGCTTCATAAAAACACTGCAGGATTTCTCAAACATGATGAATGAGTCAGAGCAAGGCTTTGGGCATGTTTTTATGAGAGTATAACAT